TCTTCATTTTAGCCTGAGACTCTCCAATTGTGTCCAAAAAAGGCACTTTTTTCTTCTGGATACATGACCTGCATTTTAAAAAGATAAGATGTTTTAAGTATGCTTTACGTGCATGTTTGACAAAAATGTTAAACTCAGGAATGTATGTGTTTATTTTTCCTGTATCAGATATGGACCAGACCCATTTTTTAAAGGCAAGAATACACACACTACCATGCCATATACATATATACCAATACCTCATACTCGACTTCCTGGCTTGGAGCAATCCTAGCAATTTCCCAGTAAAACAACTTGTATGGGCCAATCTTTGAGAGAATTATATGGGCATTTTTCCCCACCCAGGCATCATGCAGATCTGTAAAAAAATGATGTTTGTACACTGCATTATTGTAATTTGTGTAGATATATCTCAAGAATTACATCTAATATTACCTCTAAAACCACAATTAACTTATTACTTATAGTTAGCATTTCCAGAACAAGTATATTATCAAAATAAAATTAATGTTGATACTACGAACAGTGTATAACATACCCAGCTGTCACTGTGTCTTAAGATGTCTTGACAGTATTTATAAGATGTCTTGAGACATTTTCTTATGCCAAGACATCTCAAGAACGTCTTAAGATGTATGAGTGAAGACACGATCTTTGTCTTGAGACATGAAAGTTAACGTCTTAAGACAAAGAAGTAATTATTTTGTGTCTTGAAGATGAGGCATGACTTAAGACATCACTTTGTCTTAAGACATAGAGATGTTGTGTCTTAAGACAGTTCAGTTGAGTCCAAAGAGTAGTCCATTACAAAAAGTCCTGTGGTATGAGTGTGGTATTCCTGTGGTGCTGCCAAACTGAAAATTACAACAGAGGATTACCACAGCACTGCCTAATGTAAAATATAATGAGAATATAACAAGTATGTCCTCAAGAAACAGCCTACTGTAATCTTATGGTTTTTGTGTGATTTTAGTAAAAGAACATTCACTAAGATTTTTACTTGCTGTACTTTTGTGATTCTTTTTTTTTGTATGTTTTGTTTTTTGATTATTGCAGAAATGTGTTTACAGTAACAAAACAACAACAACAAAAAAAATCCTTAAACCATTTACCTTACCTTAAAATGTTTAAACTCATTTCCTTATATCATTGAAGTTCATGGTAGAATAACCTTTAATTTGTAACATTTACCAATGGAGATAATCACAGTCAGTCACAGCCTTTTGCTCATTTGCAGAAAACATGCTATGATTAACACAACATTGATCTGTTTTCAAATGCACAACTGTAACCAGAGACAACAAGCTAGGAACCAAGATAAAACAACTTTAAACTAATAGGAAGTGAATGTACTTAACAGCTAACCTGGGTACTTTAGAGATCACATACCACCAAAACTTAATGCAGAAAAAGCACTTGGTTCACTCTCTTCAACATCTACACTTCTGTTTATTTTCTTTAGCAGATCAGGTCTGCCCAAAGTTAGACCATTAGGACTTTTAATTTGGCCCAACAGAAAAAGAAAACATTTTTATATATATATACTGTGTATAACTTTCAAAATTATTATCTCCAGGTATTTGAAAAACACGAACAATAATAAACAAATGTATTTGAGTAGTAATATAAAGACCTATATTGTTTCACCACGTAAAATTACATAATAAACAGATTTTTGTTTAAATGTCCAACTTCATACTTTGACTTTAATATTTTAAGACATGGCCTCCAGTGATGCTTTGTAAAATAATGCTGTACAGCTGTCTCATGTATTTCAAGAGTTTGCAGTTTTCTACTCTGTGTCTAGATTAAAACAAATAAACAAACAAACAAAAACAAAACAAAACAGTTCAGTTCAGTACAGAGAGGCGCGAACCAAAAAAAAGTTCTATAGGAGGACAAACAAAAGACTGGCGGGAGTTTCAGACCAATCAGAGCGCGAGACTCCGCCGCTTGGACGTTCGGTTTTGAAGCGCGAGCGCTCTCCGCCGTTCCTCCTTTTAAAGCCAAGCGCGACCGTTACAGCCGTTTACAGTGAGCGAGTCTCTCAGGTCGCTAACGCGGGCAGTTTATCGAGTTTGTTTAGCGAGTGTTAAACCTCGATAAGACAGTCTCTTACACTCCTTACTAAGACAGCGCCGCCTGCCGGGTGACGCTTTCAGCTCCACAAACGAGGATTTTCAGCTGCGTAGTTAGCTAAGCTAACCAGCTGACTGGATCGAGTGGAGTGGCGACTGGAGTTACGGCTGCAGCGGTCAGAGTCTGCTTTTAAAAGGTGAGTAGTGACAAAATGAGATAAGCAGCCTCACTAACAGTCAGCTGGAGTAACGTTAAACACTTTTTTCTATATTTCTGGGTGGATCTGCCGAGTGAAGACACCAGCGTTAGGTTAGCTTATGTAGCTAGTCAGATGTCGCTTAGCACCCGCTCCCAGCAGCGCACTGTAAACATACCGCCCAGCTTCAGCTCTGTACAGCTGTCTCACCCAGCAGTGCAGTCATAGAGGCTCATAAGGTTTGGAGTATAGACAGGTGAGATGCTAGTGTGCAGCAGAATCAGTCAGTTGAAGCATTTAGGTAGCTGGAACAAATGAAAGGCTGCCTCAGAATTAAATCTAAGATTGATCACAGTGCAGCGAGGTTAGCACACTGAAAAATACAACAATGAAACTGAACATAGTCCGTCAGTCTGTGTAGTTCAGAGAGGGTAGTAATAATCTTAATTTGCTCAGTTACATTTACTCTAGTAACGTCTTGGTGGATTTGTACTTTCTAGAGTATTTTAAAATGTATTATTTGTGCTTTATATTAATAATCTATGTTTTACTCGGCTACATTTATTAGTAATATATAATGACCAGTTTGTTTTGTGTTTTTCATTGTTATGCTTTGCTGTTATTGTTTTGCCGCATTTACCTCATGTGTCTGTTTTGTTTCAGATGTTTCTCATCAGAAATCATTTGAAGCTGAGCAACTGGTGAGACTCAAGTTTTAATTTTTTAAATAAAACTATATGAATGTCAGACAGACGTTAAGATTTGGTGGGTATTTCAAAAAAATATATTTCATGAAGTATTTATTGTAATACAGAAGAGCAGAATGTTTAGGTAAAGCTGGGTTACAGTATTCAAATATCTGCACTTTGTTCTTTCAATTATTAATATGTTATTTGCCACTACAGCTGTGTTCAAAATATCGATATGGCAATATCACCAACACTGTATCAATATTTATGAATTTACTTCTTCACCGTGCTTTAATGTGTAATACTGCAAGTCTCAGAGCGCTACAATATATAGCATACAGCATGTGGTAAACATGCTCTAATAGAGTTTAGCTCTTATTAATAATCATATCATGTAATAATTCTCTGTGAGAGAGATTAGAGGCATTGAACTCTTCAAACGTCTGGTTCTTGTCACTGCCACTATGAACAACTCTGACTCTGTAAGTTTTTCCACAATGGAACATTTTGTATCAAACTACTTTTTTGCATCTTAATGATGAAATTGTGCTTAAAAATCGTGTAATTCTCCTTGAACACAGCTTTTAACAGATACAGATATCAGTACTAAGCTCACACCTGCCTCAGCTGCAAATGATCATTTCTGTCACGTGTTGACTTTGGCATGTTAGAGGATGAAAACAATAGAATTGTGAATTATCTAATCAACTTTGTTGCTTTCAATCCTTCCAAAGGAACATCCTCTCTTTGGGCCTCATCCAGTATGGTGGCAGTCCATATCATTCTCAACACTCAACTGTGCTCTTACCCAAGTGGCCTCATCCTGATGCTTCTTTCATTACACTGAACATCATTGTCTGAACATCAGCTAAGCGTGTGAGCTGGTGCCACGCTGGAGTTCATGCATAGGTATTATTTAAAGCCTTGTCACATTTCTTTGTGTACTGAATGCCTGAGTTGATTTTAGATGAGTAAAATTATGTATACTGTACATTATATTCTATTTATAAAGGGAATATATAATGGTTTCCCTTTTATTTAGTGTGTTATGTAGCTTTTTGTGCGTGTAAGATACAAAGCTGAAAGTATATGCCAGAGGGAGAAACTCTTTCCCACAGAAACCACTTTTCTCAGCTGCCTGAGGGCTGGAGTTCCCCAGCCCTTTTCCTTTGTTACAAGATGATGTAATCCCATAACACATTCCTTATTGCCCACCTACTAGCGAGCTTGGCATGCCCTCACACAACGCAACGCATCTGCCGGAGGCCATGTATTGGCAGAACCACTCTGGCGCTTGATCAGTCAGAGCCAAGTGAGTGAGCTAACTAATCTGAGTGTACTGGGCTCATCAGGAAGGAGGGGCTTAAAGACACAGGAGCTCTAACAGAGCATTTCAGACAGAGGGTAAATAGAGATTTACAGTATGAGAAAAAAATGTGTTTCTGGAACACTGAAGCATGTAAATGTATTATAGTAGACCCCAAAAATAAATTAATGAACATTGGAAATTAGCATTGTAGGTCCCCTTTAAATTCAGCCTGCTTGTGTATGCAGATCCTCAACCTGATAGAACACCTTTGGGATGAATTAGAGCGGAGACTGCGAGCCAGTCCTTCTCATCCAACATCAGTGTCTGACCTCACGAATGCGCTTCAGGAAGAACGGTCAAAAATTCCCATAAACACACTCCTAAACCTTGTGGAAAGCCTTCCCAGAAGAGCTGAAGCTGTTATAGCTGCAAAGGGTGGGCCGACATCATATTGAACCCTGTGGATTAAGAACGGGATGTCACTCAAGTTCATATGCATGTGAAGGCAGACGAGCGAATACTTTTGGCAATATAGTGTATTAATGTTATATATTATATTATTTTATATTAAATTGGGGGCAACGTTATATTAACGTCCTTGTTTTGGAATGGGATGTCCAACAAGCTCATATGCCAGGTGTCCACATACTTTAGTCCATACAGTGAATCAGCGCATCAGACTTTTATTTTGACACACGTAGAAGGTTGTCCATTGTTGAAAGGAAAAAGCTCATTAGGTGAGGTTGTTTCATCAGCCGTGCGGTTCTGAGCAACACAATCTGTCAGCCTGTCGCTGCTGTAGTTAATCTCTCCTACACTCTGCCTCCGTGTCCAAAGGTAAAACTGAAATTTCAATTCAGTCTGCGTTTTACGGGCCTTTAGCTTGTTCTGTGTGTTTTACATGTGAGGTGTGACGCTTGGCAGTCGCACTTAGCCTGAATGAGAGAGAAATCTCACCAAACGAGGCCGAAGTCAGCTTATCATTCACCAGCTGGTGAGCAGAAAAGCCAACTTCGCGTCCTCTTCGCAGTGTTGTACACATACTTTCTTACCGCTGTTAGGTATTTTCTCCTAGCATTTATACCTTATTTTGGCTTTTATTTCTGACGACTGGGACTTTTATTTCACCACATTTAAAGAAATTATTTTACTCCAGTACGTTACGTTACTCCTGTCTTTGAGTCTGATGATGCTGAGGCAAATTGTGTTTCCCGTTTGAGCTCGATTTTTCCATTTAAACGTGTTAATGTGTTCCCTATGTCGGCTATGTGGCTTCTGTTCCTTCCGAGCGGTTACTTACGCCAGCGATAGTGATGTGTCGTGTTCGAATCGGTTCTTTGAGTCGGCTCTACAGTGAGCCCACTCTGATTGAGCATTTTTTCGTTTCTTTTCTTTTGTAAATTAACACAGGTGAAATGAGTAGGTCTCGTGACCCTGTCTGTGGTCGAGGTAGACTACTGTGTACTGTATGTGGCATCAGCATATACTGAACACTGCATCCTATTTTATCATTATCTTTTAAAATACGCTCCATACCCAGACAGGCCAGGACTTTGTTTTCTACCCGTCTTCTAAACACTCCTGTTTTGTTTTTTTTTCCTCCGTTTGCTGATGGAGCATTTGAGCAAAATCTTAATTTATAAATGCTTAAACACTTTTAATGTAAAGGGATACATTCATTTCCTGAACACTGAATAGCATAAAACATTTTAACACCGCTGTTATATTTTTAAGAACTTTTAAACTCGAGTTATAGGAGTTTAAAACGGCGCCTAGCAACCAATCAGCTCTCAGTAGCAGTAATGTAAGCGTGAATGAAATACATCCTTCTGCTTTCTAAAATTAAAGGAAAGTTCTGGGCGAGTGATTAGAAACTATTTTTACTTTTTGTTTTTAGCTGTTGAGCTCCTTTCACTCCCATTCATTGAGGACTCGCTCGCGGGCGCCCTCTGGTGTTTTGCAGTCATGTTTTTGATAACGGGAAATTGGAAGTGGCCAGGCTCCTCATAAACCGGCTCTGGCAGCAGCCGTACAGCCGTACGTTTTCACGCATGTGTTACTGGCCCCAGGCCCAGGGGAAACCCAGCTCTGGCGTTCAATTTATTAATACATAAATACAAAAGAAATATTAGCAATTTAAATACTTGAATATCAATTCATATAAATTGCATAGAATAAATACTAAAAACAGAAACTAGAAAAAGAAATAAAGACCACAAATTCACAAAATAACCCAATTAATCACTAATGAGATAGTAAATAAACATAGACCCAGCTGTCACTGTGTCTTAAGATGTCTTGACAGTATTTATAAGATGTCTTGAGACATTTTCTTAGTCGATGCCTGAGCGTGATCGTTATAGTCGACGCCTGAGCGTGATCGCTATAGTCGACGCCTGAGCGTGATCGTTATAGTCGACGCCTGAGCGTGATCGTTATAGTCGACGCCTGAGCGTGATCGCTATAGTCGACGCCTGAGCGTGATCGCTATAGTCGACGCCTGAGCGTGATCGCTATAGTCGGCGCCTGAGCGTGATCGTTATAGTCGACGTCTGAGCGTGATCGCTATAGTCGACGCCTGAGCGTGACCGCTATAGTCGGCGCCTGAGCGTGATCGCTATAGTCGACGCCTGAGCGTGATCGTTATAGTCGACGCCTGAGCGTGACCGCTATAGTCGGCGCCTGAGCGTGATCGCTATAGACGACGCCTGAGCGTGATCGTTATAGACGACGCCTGAGCGTGATCGTTATAGTCGACGCCTGAGCGTGATCGCTATAGACGACGCCTGAGCGTGATCGCTATAGTCGACGCCTGAGCGTGATCGCTATAGTCAACGCCTGAGCGTGATCGCTATAGTCGACGCCTGAGCGTGATCGCTATAGTCGATGCCTAAGCGCAGCCGCTATAGTCAATGTCTGTGTCGACTACAGTAGACTACTGAAGTTGACCACTATAGTCGACCTGTGTGGTAGAAGACCGAGCGTGACTGCTGCAGTCGAACCTAGAGTGTGACCGCTATCATCATTGCTACAGACATAAAGGAGAAAAGTGGGGATCTGACAGTCCTTGTTTCATTGCTCCTATTTTTTAGATTATTTTTCCCTATTCTATAAGCTACCCTCTACCCTTTAAAGTCTGTTGTGTGAACTCCCTTCTCCATTTTCTCTGTGTGTCCTTAATCATCTGTAGGATTTGTGCCTTAAAGCTTTACACTAAATACATGCTTAGTATGATCATTTAAAATCCATTTTAAATCTCCATCCCTCTGGAGTGTATTTCTGGAAATGGATGAATTTGTTGAATGAATCTGACCAGAGCATGTTTTAGTCTGTAGACTTTGTCCAAGTTATTATGTAATACTAATTACTTAAAACCTTGAAAACACCAATGGTTATCCTTATCATTTCCTTGTCTGCTCTTCAAAAGAGTGTGTCAGACCTCCACTTCAACATGTGGCTGTTGAGGAGACATTATGTGACTGTAGGAAGAGAACTTCATAAAGAGTTCAAATGTAACTGCTGAAAATTATTTCAAAGATGACGACAAGGAGGGCATAAATACTCTTAGACCATGTATGATTGTGTACATATGCTTACATACTTAAGTGAAATTCATATTTATTGAGCAGTTCAGCCAAAGAAAGATGAATGTGATGTAAAATTATATCACTTGTACATTGTACACTTGTACATTGTGTATCAATTTGTTAAATCTACTACAATATTACACCAAATAACATGCTCAATAGGCCACAATAAAAGCAACACAGAATGCAATGTGTGGATTATTCTATAAGAACACTTGTGTTTGTGTGTAACCTGTTTCTTTGAGACTGTGTTGACAGTAAAGACCGTTACACACAGAATGCAATTTATTTGGACAACAATAAATTAAATAGAGCATGTGTGTAACAAATGATACCTTGCATTGAAACTGGGACATTAATTTATTCCCCCTCTATTTGATTTTTGCTAACTTTCACTGGAGACCTGAACTCACTGACCAATTACGGTTGTCTCTGGCATCGGCATGGCAACAACCAAGATAATGGATTGGCTGTGTCCCAGCAACTGGAACTTTTTCACAAATGCTAAAAGAATTACAGTGTCCAAAAGCAGCTCAACTGGGGTTCAAACTTAGCTAAGTTACACATGGAAGAACTCATAGTTTCAGCTTCTGAATGAAGCCCTAAAGCTCTTTATGCTACTTTCAGTAAAGTGGAAAGTAGCCCAGTGGTCACCATTTGCTCATTCTGTGAGGAGCAAAGGTTATTTTATCAGCTTAAACTCAGCTGAGAGCCCAGCTGCCAGTAAAAGCAGTTTTAGCTCCTGAAATGAGATGGAGAATCTCTTCATTCTCCTTTTGCTTTTCTAAAGTGGAAACAACTGCACGGATTGTACAGCTTTGATGCAAAAATAGTGTCTGAATATTCTGAATTTTCATGTTTTTTCATGCCACGTTTGCTGCACCCTTAACAGTAATAATGCAAATATAGTGGAACCTAGTGTTCCTCTTTTGTAAGTTCTTTTTATTTCAAATTGCAGATCTTGGAGAATGACCTCGTTTTACTTCGTTAAAGACTAATTTAGGATTCATTTTTTGGCTCCTGTGTGTAACATTGAAGACTTGGACAAGTGGGACTTCCAAAGGTAACCAAAGAGCTCTCTGCTTGCCCTCTTGTAGAATTTTCTGTGAGACCATAGGGTATACGTGTACATAAACCTCTGATTGGCTATCCACACTTTAGTTATGTTCTTGATTGACTTAATACCACCAAACTATTAAACGACCTGGACAATCACAGACATATTCTTATTAGGTAGTTAGATATTGATATAACTTTAAGTACTTCCATTATTGAGGATAGGGGGGAAACTAACAAAAGAAATGAAGGGAAGAAGTTGACAACTATATAATGTTATGGTCTCATATGTAGTTGGATTGTAGTTTTTGTCCTTTCTGCTCTGTGTGTTTTGGTGTTAATTTGAAGTAAATAATGACTTCTATCATGTATTAATTGCTTTTTTAAATGACCCAAAATCACCGGCAAGAGTATCTTTAGAATAATGCCGCACTAAAATCCAAACATATTTTGACAATTAATTATTACTATTCTCTAAATCTCCTTGTTGCATTATTAATGCACAGTTAGGCCACTCAGCAGAAAACATTACATTTAACTCAAGAAAAACTACAGTAGTGAATGAGTGTGTAAAATCTTTCCTTTCCTTGAGACTGTATTGACAGGAAGAATGAGAATACAAATATATTGGACTCGAGTTTTCCTTTATGGTATGTTCCCTTTATTTCGAATTGCAGATCTTGAAGAATGGCTTAATTAACCACACAGGGACTGTCAGTGCTTACAGTTATGTTTTCAATGGGTCATTTATTTACATACAGGCTAAAACACACATATAGCATTTTAATACTGAAATACTTTCAAAGGCAACCTCAAAAATTTAAAGAAGCACATATTTTGTATTCTGTTTTGTAGGAGAACTCAGCTCTATCATGTTCCAGCAGTGAGTACCTCCTCTTCTTTGCAGTGCACTGTGGGACAGCATTGACTGCACCCTGCAGTCTGCACACTGTACTCACCGCACACAAAAAACAGAACACCTGGAAGTATGAACATTGAATTTTTTGAGTTGGCACTTGTGTATATACAATATATATTTGGAAGCTTAAAAAAGTAGTGTTTAATTTACAATTGGGACAACATTGAAACAATAGTCTACCTTTTCACCTGCTAGTTACAGCATTTCCAGTCCTCCTTCTATTCTTGTTTTTTTCCTTGTTCTTGAACATGTGCCATATTGACCTTTATTTGTGGATTTGTTAACTTTTTCAGGACTAATTTATGATCTGTTTTGGACTCCTATGTCCACTTTGTGAATTCAAGTTGGATGGGTCCACATGCAGAATTTACTTAGGTACAGGTAACAAAACAAAACAAAAAAAAACCACACAAACACAATCCAATAAGGCAAAAAGAAAGTACTGCAGACAAATACCAAAACTTAGAACAGGGGTTCCCAATCCCAGTCCTGGCAAGCCAACACTATATACATTTTTGTGCTTTGTGTCATCAAGCATACCTGATTCAACAAATGAATAAGTAACAAGCAGATCAGGTGTGCACAGCAGGAAAAAAACTAAAATATGCAGCGCAGAGGGTCACCAGGACTGGGAACAGGACCAAGACATTTAAAAAACGTTTTATTTCTGAACTTCTACATAAGTTAAAGTATTTTTCATTGTTCAGGAAGAACGTCAGTCTGTAGCGCTTGGTCCTGCTGCGTTTCCCCCAAAATACACTCTGCAAGTCAGCTACTTTCGGTCATTCAGCGCAGTTTTCTCCCTGTAACCGCTCCTCTTCCTCAGCCCCTCAGACAGCGCCTCTCCGCCGCTGTAACGTTCGCTCCTGAGGACAGAAAAAATCCCTAAGTACTGACGCTAAACGAAACTAAACACTACTAAACAGTGAACAGTCACTATTTTAAACCGGACTATGTCGTTTTGAAGAGCCGGCGCGTTTACACAGGTAGCTAAGTGTAGCACGGCATGTGCTACCCCGGGCTCAAGGAGGATGCTGGAGGCAGGGTTCAGGGTTGCAGCAGCCATATATCTTAACACACACACAAACAACGACCAAAACCAACGATACACTGGCCACTTTTCAGTGGCTTCAGTCAGCTAGACTCTTCAGTCTTTCTACTCAAGCTTTTAAGCTCTTCACTTCTCCTGCTACTGCTTGTCCCCCTCTCTCACTCTGTTCCCTCTCAGCTCTTTTTAAAAGGCGCACCCGAGCCGAGAGGGAACGAGAGCTCGCCGCTCCGCCTCCTCGTCACCACCCCCAGCTTCAGCTCGGCCTCGCTGCGTAACGGGGCAGGGCCCGGGCGGCGGAGGTCGGGACTTGCTCATTGCCCTCATGCCTCTCGTTGCCGTCACCGTCGTCGTCTTCCTCCTCCTCCCGCCGTCACTCGGGTTACTCGGAGGAGCTCGGGCTTCGCGCTCCTCCCCCTCCCCACTCGCGGCGCTCTCCCTGCCGTCCTGGCCGAGGTTCGCCGCCGCTGTGTGTTCAATTCCTGCCGGCTCTTGCGGCCGTCATCGTCGGGGCCCAGGGGGCGGGCGCATGCCACACTAAGCTAACTAAGGCTGGCTTTACCGAGCTAACGAACGTCAAACGCAGCCGGTCAATTCGCCTTAGACGAGCGAACTGCCAGAATTGCACCACAGGAACAATTTCTAGAGATGTACAAACACAAACATGTTCAATACTTTGCACAAATACAACAATCAATCGAAACTGTAAAGACAGAAGTGAAGAAATAACTTACATTTGTAAACTCCTCGGTCGGCAAAAAACGGCCGCTTCGTCCGCCACATTGATCAGACCGGAGCGATGGAACTCTCAGCAGGTGAACGGTATTGTGGGATTGCCTTCGCTGAGAAGGACACATGCAATGCTGCCTTCAGATTTGGTAAAAATAAGGCACCTTAGAAGGCAGCTGCCTTTGCTGCCTTCCGAATGGGACACCACTTGTCTCGGGAGCGCGCAAATGCTGCCTTAGAATGCTGCCTACTTAGACAGCTGCCTCCCGATTGGAACGCACTATATGTTTTATTCTTCAAGTAAAACTAAATTTCTGTGCTCATAAACTCTGCATTTCGCTTTATTTCCACTACTATTATTTACTTCTAGGGCTTCTAAAATATTTACATTAGCTGGAATATTAGTCATATTGGCCCTGAACAAAAACTCAAAGGCTTGACCTGCTGTGACAGTCTGTCACATGCAGTTTTAGCAATCTGCATGTCTCCTTTAGGTGAGAATATCAAGACAAATAAGTCTGCCTGATGCTACTCATGTACTATGTCACAGTAATAAGCCATGTAATGAACAATCATCAAAATTCTTATATTTTCAACTCATTTTATTCTAAAACTTTCTAATTGACACTAAAGCTGTGAATTGATGTTTTGAATTGATACAGTCAAAAATAAGTAAAAAAAAAACAAAAAAACAGGCGCTTGGTAAAATTTTGATCAAAACGTGTCCAGTTTCATAAAAATATCAAACTTCTGTGGGCATTTACAACTCAGGTGATTACATATTTGAGAAACCACGTCTTCTGAAAATAAAACAGCATATAACATGTGGCTGTCTCATATAATTACTAGAGTTACAACAACTGAAAGAGGAACTGACAAAAACGGGAAAAAAACACACCTAATAGTGCTAGTGACCTAAGGGTTAAGTTTCTCACATTATCCCTTTGATGCACAAACTATGCAAACACCTTCTAATACACAACATGGGTCAAAAAGGACCCATATTTATTTCCTATGTTATTTTCATGGATGACTGACTGTCTCTTTGCTATAACTTTTGAAATCAAATTATTTCATCGTGTAAAGCTTCTGAGTTTGCTAAGTAAATCGTGTCTTTGTCTGTGGGCAGACTAGAAGTGATTACCTAAAGAATGGAGAACGCCAAAAGAGTTCCTCACTGTTTGCCCTTCTGCTCTTCCAAAAGAGATGGAGTATTAACACAGAGGAAGGCCTAGCAGAATCCATCTGTTTGAATGAGTTCTTATGCATAAATCTATACGTGTTCATGTATCTGTATTACTGTACAGTATTGTTCAGATGTGTATAATCAAGATTTTCAAAAAAATAAATTCCATTTACTTGTTAATAATTGTATGAAATGATTCTAATGTACTCATCCTATACACCTTCACAGGCTTCAAATAATAAGGAAATACTTCGAAATAGATAAATACCTCATACTTTTGTCATTTTACAATTTCCTTTTGTTCCCAAAATACTTCAAATATTGATTAAAACATCTAAAAGTACATTTTAATGTGATGTTTATAATATTTAAATCTATATTGTGTGTTATTATTGTATATGAAACAACAACATCAACTTAATAACAAGGGACAAGGGATTCCTTTGGACAACTTTCAAATGTACACACCCCTCGGCCATGACATTAAAAACACCTCCTTGTTTCTATACTCATTGTCCATTTTATCAGCTCTACTTACTATATAAGAAGCATTTTGAAGTTGTATAATTACAGTCTGTAATTGTTTCTTTGCAAACTTTGTTAGCCTCCTTTTACCCTGTTCTTCAGTGGTCAGAACCCCTACAGGACCACTACAGAGCAGGTACTATTTGGGTGGTGGATCATTCTCAGCACCGCAGTAACACTGATGTGCTGGTGGTGTGTTAGTGTGTGTTGTGCTGGTACAAGTGGATCAGACACAGCAGTGCTGCTGGAGTTTTGCGATGGTCATGAGCGGGTCCTGAAAAACATTTTACTGGAAGTTTCCTTTCTTTTGGGACTCTGTCTCTGCCTGGAGATCATCTTTAGGTACAATGTTGCCTTTTAAGAGGAAGAGAAAAAAAAATGTCCGCTGTGTCTGATTCACTTGGTTCTTTTTTACTGAAGGGCGGGGCTTTCTCGGCAAACAGGCGCCGTGTTGAGCTTTACGAGCTTTTTCATTCATATTTCAGGCAGCGACCGGTCTCCTCATTCATGACGTCTCTGGCCTTTTTCTTTATGCTGCTCTGTTTAACTGTTTCTGGTCAACATCGGTGTGAATCTCAACACCTTTCTCTTTGATCTCCGATGCCCACACACTGTGATCCACCTCCTGCTAGACCTTGGGCAGTAGCGGAGCGGATTCACATCTGACAGTAGGTAACTTACACTACAGAGGCCTCTTTGAGGGAATTTTTTACAGGTCTTATGTTAAGCAAACCACCGATTCTCTTCACGAGCTCCACGACAACAGTTGTGCTACGGTAACCGAGGTAACTGTTTTATTCCTTCAGCTGATGTGGCCTCCATTTGTTTTCAGATTGCCATACTAAGGTGGATTAGAGTCCGAATTCTCTCGTTTTAATTTCAAACTTTTCTGATCTTCTTTCACTAAAGTTATCGCTGCTCATAACAGCCCAGATGGGCTTGGTCTGAAAAGCCCCCGCTGAGCTCCGTTAGATTTCTCACGCCGTCCCAGTTTGACAGAATTCTCTGAATAGACTTGTATATTTGGGATGTGGTGTCTGACAGTGCCTGACTACGTTAAGTGTTAAAACGTTATGTGTTCTGCGAGTACTTCTCGTTACCTGTCTGTCTGCATGCCCGGACATGCCCTTATACACGGACAACTTTTTAACGGACTCTAAACTCTGTTGTGACATATTTTTCTATACTTCATTACATTTGCACGTTAGTGTGTGTGACACATTCGTACAGTCGAAAGCTCATTCTATGATATGCACTCATCCGCTCCTTCAGCGTGGTCTCTGCGTTTTCACACACATCCACGTTGACGTACATCTCTGTCTGTCTGTCTGTGTGCAGGAGGCTGTGCTGGTGTTTTGAGAACTGTTGGTGGACTCGCTCGGTGCTAGTTGACTTTATCACAGGATCCGGACACAAGGTGGGTTTTGAGTATATTTCCTGAGCGGAGTAACAGACTGATTTTACAGTGAATTTTTTTGTTTTGCCCATATACTGCCCACGTCATGCCCGTGACTCCGGAAACACGGACAACTTTTTGAACGGTCAAAGTCATTCATTCACGTAGAACAGGCTAATAGGCTAAGCTAAGCTCCACATCATCGCTGTGTGAGGAGGGTCTAATTGCAGCACCATATGGGGGCGTTTCTGTGATGCAGACAACGCAACCCCCCCCCACACACACACACTTATGTGACGTCAGGGTCAGGTGGGCTTTGGAGTAAAAGCCACAGTAATGTTGCTGAGTAAACAGAACTACGACGGTGTTTTAGGGCCCCTGTTAATAAAAATAAAAATAGTAGACTTTGAGAATAAAGTCGTAATATTTAGAGATTAAAGACGTAAATTTACGAGAGTAAAATAGTGATATTTCGAGTATTAAGTGCTAACTGTTGGGGGGCTGCCATGGGGTCTCGGTTGCTGTACTGGCGACGGTGAAGACGGCGTAGTACTGCTGAAAACACTGCTGAGTGCTACCGTTATGACAGACATTCAGACCGCAAGGTCAAGTCGGGGATCACAAAACCGCGAGACAGAACTCTGCACTTACCAGAAGCTATAGATTTACGCATATTTGATTTTAAATGCCAAATGCTCATTATGTAAATATGTAGAAACAATATTAATTTGGTATTAGTAACGTCTTTACAAATATTGATGTATTTTCCCGTTGAGTCTTATCCACCGATGAGAGAAGCCATTTTGCAGACATATCGGCCAATGAATGATAAGTGGGCGTTCCTGATGTGGGCGTTCTTGTTTTACTGAAACGCCTCTCATTGCAATTCGACTCCATTGGGCGCTGTGTCACACCTGTACTTTCACACAGGCTACGTCCGAAATGGCATACTTAAGCTGTGCGTACTAAATTCGACAGTAGCTCTACCAAGAAGTTCAAGAAGTACGGACCGTCAGTATGCGAGTGTCACTACCGCACGCTCTTTGACCTGTGACGTCTCGTCAGCAGCGCCAACATTTAAAGAGCTTTACTCACCAACATGATTTTCCTTCTGTTTCCTTAGCAAATACTTATCCGTGTTTCAACAGGCCAGTCACGTTTTAACAAGAATTCGAGACAATAAATAAAAGAAGCAAGATTTTAAATATCAACAGTAATAATATAAAAATTATGTGCCCATTGTACTGTAATTCATCATAAATAAACAGTATAACTATAAATGCTAAAGCATATGACTTGTGTGAACTGCACCTTTTTTTCTGATGCATTCATTTTACTAAAACATAAACCATGAATTCATTTTTTTCTGATGCAAATATAAGAATTTAAAAAATGGCGGTATATCTAAGTGTGTGTGTGTGTGTGTATTTACATTTACACACACAAATACTTCGTTCTTACAGACATACATCTACATATTTACTGCTGTCATCACAGAAAGCAATCTCATGTTATTGACTAAATATCAAATGACAGCATCAGTTACAAACAGAGTGTCTTTGTACAAAGAAAGAAATAAAATAAGCCAAACTCATAATTACAAGACAGGAACAAGGCCATACCGATCGACACATACTCAAACACTTTTGTTTTCTCACAAAATGTAATCATAACAGTGGACTGCAGTTGTTTCATTTTAATACTTTTTTTTTTTCAACAAGTATATCTTAAAGACGAAGAGACCTTTTTTTCTCTCAGCTCACGTTCTCTTTTCTTTCTCTGTGCCTCCAGTTCTGCTCTCTCTCACCTCCTGCTTGTTACTCTTCTTGCCCCCATCTTGCCCTTTCTCTCCACAGCCTCTCTCTGTTGTCTCTCCTCCCTTTCTGCTTCCTTTCACCATCCCTCTCTGTCCGTTCTCTCTCTCCTCCATATCTCTCACCAGCTGCCAAAAGTCCACCTCTGTTCTGCAGTTCCTTGCAGGTACATCCTCACTCTCTTTCCTCACTGAGGGTGGTGAAGGGTCAGCACCACCATTCAGGGTACCATTTCCAGCACACTTTAAGCAGATACTAACACTCCTACTAAATTTACAAACACAGCACAAGGAAAAACATGATGCAAATAACGTTAACGTTTCACTGACATTTTGCTTGTAATCTTAAAAAAACAGCCTACATTGTAGGTTACTCTGATGTTGTTCCACTTCATAAACAAAAAAAAACATTCCCCTCAAACTTCTGCTCCATCACAAAGGCTCTACAACACAATACATACAAGACAGTTAACAAAGTACAGTGGAAGCTTTCCTGTCCAAAATAAAGCATACAATCATTTAAATCGTCTGTCAGTGATCGTGGAATAAGGAGAAGACTCGCCACTATAGCATGTCGACCATCAAGATCATAGCTTTAAGCAGACTTTGGCTTTTAATATTGCCTGAAACCCTCTGATTGCAGGGTTTTCTCCTGGTGAACAAGGCCTCATTTGCTATTCTCCTATCAGCAGCATTTAACAACTTGAGAGAATTTCACGCACTAACTGGTGGCAGCAGCTGTTAGTTAACACTAACTGAAACTGGCTCAGCTCTTTAACACTGTCAGCCACCATCTCGCTTTGTATTTACCTCAGCTAGTAATCAATGACAGACAAATTAGTCTGTAGTTCACAGCAAAACTCTTTGTGTTTGGTGTTGTAGACTGAAAAAACGTGAGTTTTACTTTCACCCATGGACCGTCTGCTTTCACCATGCTAACATTAACCGTTAGCTAACAGTTACTGAAATGTAAAGCTACATTTACACCTGATTTTCAAGCCAACATATTACAACCCCAATACCAAAAAAGTTGGGACACTGTGTAAAATGTAAGTAAATGTCAATTAAAACAGAATGCAATGATTTTTAAATCTCATAGACTCTCAATTAAATCTCAATTTAATCACAATAGAACATAGAACACATATCAGATGTTAAAAGTGAGACATTTTATCATTTCCTGAAATACATTAACTTATTTAGAAGTTGATGGCAGCAACGCATCTCAAAAAAGTTGGGACGGGGCAACAAAAGGCAGGAAAAGTAAGTGGTACTAATAAAAAAACAGCTGGAGGAGATATTTGCAACTAACACACGTGACTGGATATAAATATAAGGTTCATCAATCTGCGAAAAACTGTGTCTAAAAATTGTGGAACAATTTCAGAAAAATGTTCCTCAATGTAAAATTGTGAAGACTTTGTATATCCCACCATCTGCAGTACAAAATATCATCAGAAGATTCAGAGAATCTGGAGAAATCCCTGTACGCAAGTGGCAAGGCCGACGGTCAATATTGAATGCTCATGATCTTAAGGCCCTCAGGCTGCACTGCATTGAAAACAAGCATGATTCTGTACTGGAAATCACTGCATGGGCTCAGGAGCACTTCCAGAAATCATTGTCTGTGAACACAGTTTGCCATGCAACCCACAAATGCAAGTTAAATCTGTATCATGCAAAGAAGAAGCCATATGTCAACGCGATCCAGAAACGTTGCCGTCTTCTCTGGGCCAAAGCTCATTTAAAATGGACTGAGGCAAAATGGAAAACTGTTCTGTGGTCAGATGAATCAAAATTTAAAATTCTTTTTGGAAACCATGGATGGCATGTCCTGTGGACTCAAACGGAGAAGGACCATCCAGCTTGTTATCAGCGCACAGTTCAAAAGCCTGCATCTCTGATGGTATGAGGTTGCATTAGTGCCTATGGCGTGGGCAGCTTACACATCTGGAAAGGCACTATCAATGCTGAACAGTATATAGAGGTTTTAGAACAACATATGCTCCCATCCAGACAACGCCTTACATATTTCAGCAATGGCTTCACAGAAGAAGAGTCCGGGTGCTGAACTGGCCTGCCTGCAGTCCAGACCAATAGAAAAAATTTAGCACATCATGAAACGAAAAATCCAGCAAAGAAGACCCAGACCAAGCAGCTAGAATCCTACATAAGACAAGAATGGAAAAACATTCCTCTCCCAAAACTCGAATATTTGGTCTCCTCACTTCCCAAACGTTTGCAGACTGTTGTTAAAAGAAGAGGCGATGGTATACAATGGTAGACACGGCCCTGTCCCAACTTTTTTGAGATGCGACACTGCCATCAAGTTCTAAATGAGTTAATATTTTTCATGAAATGATAAAAAGTCTCACTTTCAACATCTGATATTTGTTGTATGTTGTATTGTGAATAAAATATGGGTCTATTAGATTTGCAAATCATTGCATTCTGTTTTTATTTACTTGTATTTTACATTTTACACAGCGTCCCAACTTGTTTGGAATTGGTGTTGTAATTCAAATCAACTTACTTAGCTATAATACCTCAACATAAACACTGATAACTTAAAAAAATATATATGTACTTCAGCTTCTCAAAACTGTAAACTCTGCCAATGTACTACGTCATCCAGGGAATTTTTGCGTACTGTTTGATGAATACTACATATTCGGACATATTAACTATTCTCGCGTACTATATAGTATGGAAGTATGCCATTTCGGATGCAGCCGCAGAAACGCAGCAGTGTTGGTTTGTCTGTCTGTGTGTCAGTTTGACTGAAGTTCAGTTCCGTTTAACCCGTGCGTACGACGTACCGCTTAGCGCATGCGCACTGCCTGGAACCTCTGCATTACATTGCCTTACATCATAATATAGTACATTACATTACATTACATTACAACAAACGGTTGCTTGTTATACTAGATATTAGCTCGACTGTAGTCAACCTACACAATACCTGTTTAGCTTTTCTAAATCATAACAAATGACACTATACCCACTAGTTTTTGCACCGAGCCCAGCAGCTACACTCCTTTTGAGAGAGAAATTGAGAGAGGGTCAGTTAAATTACGTAAAAACGACGTGACGACGACAACAATGCTACTAAAACAATAAATTACATTTAAATAGTTTAGACATACCAACATATGTATACATATACATACAACATATATATGCAGTTAGTAAATCTTTTTACTTTACATAAAGAAACACTAGTTAGGAAAAACTAAAAAAAATGACCTTTTGTAAAGATATCTTGCTTTGGTTTAAGCATGTTTCATTTTATTTGACTATGTCAGTTTTTATTTAGAGATGTCTTTTCTATTTTTTTAATTGTCTGCTTCTTGGCCTTTAAGACACCGTAGTTTAGCAGTTGGATATTTTTAGTAATAATAATGCTTATTATTTCCATGTGTGTTACAGCTCTTGGCTGGGATGACTCAACACGGGTTGGTGTTGCTGATGGCTGCTTGTGCTCTCATATCTGCAGCTGTTGGGTTTAACACACATCTACAGCAGGTAAGAAACTTGTTCAGATCACAAAGTCTGGATCAAACCAAGATCAAACTGTTTCTTTGTTTGTTTGGTTACTAAAAGTTTATTTTCTAGCAGATTTTTGTTCATTTCTGTTTACATGTGTAGTTGATGTGTTTTCAGAATCCTCTTGTGGAAAATATCTCGCAGCCTTATGAAGAGTTTTGTTCTTCTGGACGTTGTACATATTTAGTTCCTTCTGTATTCCTCAAATACTTGAAGAATAAGCACTGTGAAGCAGCCTGGCATGCACCGGTGAGAACACACATGCTGTCTACAAGTTCTACATGATGATAGTGCAAATGTTTCCTGAGAAAATTATATTTAAGTTTTTTTATCGGTGCAGAAAATCTTAATTCATTCAGAAAAATACCAGCATTAGTGGCCAAATGGGTTCCTGGACATAGATTAAGCGTAGTCTTGGTAAGTGGTGAATTACCGCTTGTAAATTTGTTTCAGTCTAAGCCTAGGCTTTATCTTGGTCTGCAAAACTGGCCCTAATAAAATAATTTTCTGATGTTATATGTGTGAGTGTGTTCCAGACTCACCAGATAAATAATTTTGGCTTTTCTTGTCAGGTTGAGGGGTCCTTGGCTGATCCTTCTGACCCCGCAAGCCTGCAGTATCCAGCTGTAGAAGTGACACCAGAAAGTCTGGTCACCGAGAAACATGTTGACGGACTTTGGATTGACATCCGCTGCCATGATACCAAGGTGAGTTCATTCATATTTTTGTTTTTAAAACTACATACAAGTCCATTTTACTGCACGAGTGACAAAACACTCTTTCTATTGTTTTTAACAGAATGTTTAGATTAATTAAATCCATTTCTGCACTACAGGCCAGTCTCCATCAGTATCTAGCTGTTTTCAGAGGTATGTGCCTGCGCCTCTTTGTTCAGGTTTTAGCTTTATTCATCAGTTACCACTCACCACACAGTCTGTTTTGTTGAAAGTGTTCTACCCATCTGGTTTCCACCAGGTTACCAAATAACAACAAAGCTACTAGAATGATTTATTTACTTAATTATTTATTTTTTACCAGAAGGCATTGCCAGTAACACTAACATTGTTATTGGGAATAAAATCATGTCCGTGATGATTCACTGTGACCAATTGCTGATATTCACTATAACACCCCATAACATCATAATTCAGTTCTTTAGCTGCAGTGTAAGTGGACAAATATTACAAAGTACAAACTATGTAATATTATATATTTTTTTTTGTTTAGCTAAAAACACTGCATCACGCACAATTTCTTAAATTTTACTTAAATTTAAAGTTATATTAATATGTGTCTTGGTTTTTTAAGCTGTGACTGAAACCAACCTGCCACTGAAAAGCTCTGGTGAGTAGTGTAATAGTTGTAATTCATAATTCAGTTCTTCAGCTACACAATTACACAATTTACTGAAACACTGAGAGGACCCCTCTAACCTTACACCAATATCAGTAGAGTGGAATAATAGATTTGGTTTAGTTAATGCAATGAAATGTGCTAGACTTTTTTTAAGATGTAAATGGCTTTATCCTGACCTCTAATGTGTGATATCTCTCTAATAATCGTGTAATGTATGTGTGTGTGTGTGTGTGTGTGTGTGTGTGTGTGTGTGTGTAAGTGTATGAATCTGTAATGAAGTGTGTTGAGAATGTTGAGGCTGCAACAACAGAAGGATCACTGTAAAGCAGATTATCTCTTTACTCACTTTAAAACCTCGTTATATCTCTTTGTAGTGGGGTTTTATGACCTGTTTTATCATGTGTTTTATAGCCCAGCCGAGAAATCTGACTGTGAGCCGCATCATGCTGTCTGCAGGAGGAGCTGTTCTTGTTTTGGTGGTCCTTGCTATCTGTGTGATCTAATGGAATCGTAGGACAATCCTCAGGTATGTTTGTCAGGTACTCTCTGAAACCACAGTGACAGGGCTGAAACACTGTGGAATTTGGGTTTGAAGGAAACTACATATGACCTGACTTAATATGCATTTTTAAAAGTGCTCAATTGCACTCCTTTTTTACTTTGTGTTTAAAAGAAGTCATTCATGATTTACAGAAAAAAAACATATTGGCCCAACCCAGATATTTCTTCAATTATTTACAAAGTCTTGTCACACAAGCTATGAAAAAACATGTATTTTACACCAACAACACTGTCAGTTTTGTGTTGAGCACAAATCGTTGCTTTCCTTTTACAAACCTCAATTCTAAAGTTTGTGAAATGCTAATATAAACAGAAAGTAGTGATTAGTAGATTTTGTTTGACTTTGTAGTGCGAGTCATTAGTTAACATTTTTTGTGTAGAGCGGGGGAAAAAACAATAAAGGCTAAGTAATATGTATAAGAAATATAGAAACCACATGAAAACTTTGGACTTTTATTATTTATTTGAAAAGTTCAAAAAGCATTTCATAAGTGTATTTATTTCTTGTTAGAAAATAGTCAATTCAACTAACACAGGCTGTTAAATGTCGTTTATACATTTCTCTAAAAATTTGTACCATGCAGCGTTGCAAAAAAATGCTGTACATTTCAGAAAAAAAGAGCTCATACAGGTGTAGTATGTGGTTTGACAGCCTAATGTGGGGAAATTACATCATCTGAAGGTTAAGTGCTTACTTTGATGAATACTAGTAAACAGTGACAGAGTGAAAAGTGTTACATAGAAAAAAAGGTGCTTGGTACAACAATTGTTTTAAAGTCCAGCTGTGCTTCTTTTTCTCAGGGGAGACGTGCGTATTTTCATAACCTAATGTTTTGAAACAGGGCTGTAAACTAAACTAAAAAGTGTAGAGTCAATACTACTTAAAACATATGGATGGGTTGAGAGGTTGGGCAGTTGTTCTGCCAATCGCCAAAAGCTCTCCCCTTAAAGGCAAAGCTGGACAAATGAGACGTACTCGTGCTCTCACCTTAAGGGCAAATGTGAAGTTTAATCCATAAATCAGTATAAACTATAAAACCATTTATAAGTATAAAAATAGCAAATAACAATAATACTACTAGTTTGTGCACATGGCAATCCAAAATATAAAAGTGAATGTACTGCATGCCTATTGGTATAAACAAATGCTGCAACTACTCTGTGTCCATTTAAAGACATATTACACTCTGCTTTTGTTTTACATGACTGACAATACACACAAAATAAATAATACAAAACACAGGTAGTGCAGAAGCATGTACTGCATTAATATAGTGTTTTTTTAAGAAAATAATCAGTCCTCTTGATTTCAGCTCTATAAAATTTGGTCAATGGCGGGGGGGGCAGTGCACTCACTGCTGGATCTCAAACTCTGCATACCAGCATTGGAGCCCCTGAGTGTATGTAAATAACATACTGATAGGCTGGTGTTTTATTTCACACACTGAAGCTGATTCATTCGTGCTCAAATCTCCACTTACGTCAAATCTCAATATCGATTAAGGCGGTAAATCTGAGCTTTTTCATCCTGCTTTAATGAATAGAGGTCATTGACCGCAAAGGAGTTGCCACCAACTGTTAAAAATGACAACAACAACAAAAAAAAGATCAATTGTGATTTTAGTTTGTCCCATTAATTTGAACCCCCTAAAAATGGGGGATATGTATGAAAATAGTTGTAATTACTACACTGTTCTCCCAGCTTGGATGTAAGTACCATCAAATTAAAGCTAAAAGTCTGTGCTTTATCTGTGGTAGACAGATAAATTAACAACTTTGTTAACATCCAAATGTTCACTGTATCTCCTTTAACCGTTTGCACGTGAGAAAGAAATCTGCAAGCCAGCTAAGGTGAGTTTAGTTAGTTGTATGAATGTTAGCATCTCTTTAAGGAGAACATAATGTCAGTGAGAGCTTTAGGAACACTTTTGGGGAGGACACAGCTGTAACTGGTTGGTTTTAAGATTGGAAGGATGGATGTGTTAAAGTGGCAGTAGGGTGGAAATAGTGGACAAATGAAATACTGATAGATTTGATATACTTGGAGGCTACTTTGTAAATTTCTGTTAGGTTTTTTGTGTTAAGTACTGTAACTGCTGTTTGTGTTTTCACAGAATGGATTGTGCTATAATCACGTTAATCATTCCTGTTCTCTTTTTTCTCTTATCTTCTTCAGAGTGGTGTCCTCAAACCCGTCCAGAAAGTAACACGGTCTTCATCATGTCCAAAAGAGTTAGCGCTCTCCTCATATTAGAATCTCTCAGTCAAGTTTCTCTCTATAAAGGTGGATGCAGTATTTTGAATAGCTACAGTACTGTTGCTGTCTCTCACTGTAAACGAACGGCCATTGTAAACAAACTGTCTTCATCTCCAACCTGCAATGCTCAAGCCAAGTCACTCTCAAGGTCACTACACAAAACACCTAATTGTACTGTCAGGGACCAATTTGATGGTTTATATGTTGTTTAAATGTATTTATTATGCTCTTTTTTTTTCTCAAAGACATTGTGAATGATTGGTTGCAGTTGTACTTTGGGTTTTACTTGCTGACACTATGAACAAACAACCATTTTGATCTCCGTTCCTGAAAAACTTGGGTTGTTCAGCTCAGCAGGACTGGGGCTGTTTTCCTCTAACGATTCCGTCTCAGGGATTTTTGCAAGAAACCGAAGCATCTGCAGATAAAAGCTGCTTGTTACTTTGTGAAGAATTAAGCTGTGGAATTAGAGTATTAGCATTAATCAGATACATCAAAAATATATTTTTGGTACTTTTATTAATTTTTAATATATATTTAATACATTTTTGATACTACTTATTAAAAAAAAAAATAAGGGTAATGTTTGTGCTTTAGAATCTGACAATGTATAGAACAGCACTGTATCAAATCGGCACCATTCCAATCCACAAGTGTCCTATAAGTATTTAAAACCCAATCTGTGAATGAATTAATAAGATGTCTAAATAAAAGCATTTTGTATTTGTAAGTCTGTTGTAATGTGAATCAGTAAAGGTAGAGTTTCCTGTCTATGTAATGGCAAAAAAGGAGAAGTGTCTGAAAAAGTAAGATATGTGTGCCCCTATGTGGAAATGCATCACTACCATATTAAGGTAAGACGTGACTCACGCTTTCCTTTTCTTCTGTTTGGGTGACTGTAGTGTATTGCTGTCTAGGTTACCCGGACAGTGCTGACTCGAACATGGGCTAAATGAACAGATCACTCCAGTACTGACAGCACTTCACTGGTATCCTGTTAAACACACAATACATTTAAAATTAATTTTATTAGTTTCTAAATCTTTTAATGGAATAGCAGCATTTCTATGTCAGATTTTCTAGCTGATTATGCTCAACAACAATCAAAGCTCTATTAGGATTACGTTCTGCTGCAATAACGACGCATCTTCAATTAACAGTTTTATCGAGCAGCTTAAAACATTTCTTTTTATCTTTGACTATTTTATTTTCATTTCTGCTTGATATTTTCTGAGCCACAATTCATTGTTTTTTTTCTTTCACTCATTCACCATTTCATTCATTGCTACTTTATTATTTTCAGAATTATTTGCTTTTAGAATTGTATTACTTTTTACTTCTTTACTATTTCTGCCCTGGTTTTATCTTCTCTGTTTTCGTTTCTTCACATATGCTAGGTTTTATTTGCCTTCCTCGTTGTAAAGAACTTTGCGCTTCATTTTTATGTAAGAAAAGTGCATATAAAGTTGTTGTTGATGATAATGGTGGATATTATTATTATTATTATTATTATTATTATTATTATTGTAACATCACATGAAAGAACAAAACGCCATTTATGCCGATTTCTAATTCAAACTGAAGGCCTTACTGTCAGTGAGGCTCATTAATCTTAGCCAGAATTCCACACTGTTCCTGTGAAAGTCACTACCGTTCAGTCATTTTCAGTGGAATTATCAGCCACTACTTAGATATTGTATATTATAAATAAAAATATGGTATATTTTTAACATATAATTTTAACATTATATTGTTGTTGATGGTATCTTGAATTATTATACCACTACTACTAATAACATAATACTACATTATAATTATTTTTTTTGGCGAGGTTCAGGGCCGCAGTGGGACTTATTTTCAGATCTTGAGTTACATGATGTACACCAGCCCACCCACTCTATATGCAGGCCGCTAAAACAGACTTAAGTAAAGAAAAAAGTTTGACACTTCCGCCCCAACCGAGGTGAGTCTGAAAGAGATCATAGTTTAACGGTGGGAGTAAGAAATATTCAAACTGACATTAAATCAATACACAGTGTATTAACATAAACAGTGACTGCGTATTGCAGTGTATGGCAGTAAAACAGTTTACAGGATCAATCAGCTGATCGCTTTCAGCTTTATGTCCCGCCTCCCAGCGGGATTCTGATTGGTTCAGCCGCTGACGTGCAGACTCTGAAAGTGGGGCTCTGATTGGTTCTGTCCCTAAATGGAGATTCTGATTGGTTTTGCCTCTGAGTTTACTCTCCGCCTGTTTTTGCTGGTCATAGCTCCACGCGGTTCGGTGAAAGCGGTGTTGTTATTTTTATGTACGCGTCCTGAACACAACCAAAAAGAAGTTGACAGGATTCAAAACTTTGCTTCTGTCTGCCCTGCATTATTTCCTCTGTGGCTGTTTTGGGGGGCGGAGTAGTGGCGGAAGATCAGTGACAGTGTATGCTGACCAACTAAAGCGGCATTTCTCTTTTGGCGCGTGTGAGCGTGGTTTTGTCTAGCGGATCGTTCATACAATCCACTTCACACACAGACCCTATTGCACACAGGACCTGAAAAAAGTGGGTTTGGATTTTCTTTCACTGTCTTTGAGTTCACCACAGATTCACGACGACCAGCTCATTGGCTTACAATCAGGAAAACGAGGAAGACACGTACTGCTGTCAGAGCCAACAGCAGATGTTGGACAGGTTCAATAATGACGATGGTGTGTTGCAGCACAAAGATGAATCATGTGGTGGTGACGCTGCTGCTGGGGTCCGCGGTTGCTCTCACATCCCGAGCTGTTGGGTTCAGCACTGATCTGCAGCCTGCCTGTTCCATGCTTTCTCACGAACAAAACATTGATGTAAGTGCTGAGCTGAACTTGATTACATGTCTGTATTGGCTTGTGTACCTTTACATGTGTAGCTGATTCTGACTGACTGGGTTATTTTGTTTCAGATTTGCAACATTATTCAGTCTCATGAGGAGTTTTGTTCTTCTGGATGGTGTACATACACAGTCCCACCTGAATTTCTCACACACTTGAAGAATGAGGACTGTGTAGCAACTTGGTATGACCTGGTAAGGCCCCACGTGCTGTCTAAATGTTCATATGAACTTTATGAATGATAATGAAAGCTATGTATCTGAGCAGCAAACATTTATTTATTCAGAAAAACACCATCAGAATAAATAATGTGTACATAAATGGCCAGCTGGATTCCTAGACAAGAATCAAGCCTTGTCTTTGTCATGTGTGTCGTGAGCAAGGAGGCTGGATGTACTTGCTAGCACACTTTAATGAACAAAACAGACTAGTAGAAACATTAAACACAAAATAACAAACTAATAAGCTTAACAAAGAAACACTTTGAGCAGAGCAAACCAAACATGAGGCAGTCACACAACAACTACACCTAACAAAGTGACAAGTAGACCAGACAAACACTGACTGAAACAAAGGGTTTGATAAAGGCTTGAACAAATGGGGAACACCTGGGAGAGGGAGTCTACAGACAGGTGAGGATCCTAAAAGGGTGGAGCACAAGAACCAAAACAAAAACACAAGCACATGGCTACAAATCAGAGCAAAGAAACTCCTTCTAGTCTACACGTAATCTGGGCCTGCATTTGTTGAATTAATCCTTCATAAAGTTAAATCAGTGTAATCAAATATTCATGAAATTCAGTTTGGTCAGTTAAACCAGTTCAGTCAATCTCCCCTCGAGTCAAATCAGTTTCATTGATCTTCCATTGAGTCAAATATGTTTTTAATGAATCCTTCAGTAAGTTAAATCAGTTTCATAGATCTGCCATTGAGTTAAATATGTTTTTAATCAATCCTTCAGTAAGTTAAATCAGCTTAATCATCTTTCATTATGGTACTTTAATAGTACTTTAACAAAAGTGATCATTAAATGAATTCTGTATAATCAGTACTTTATCAAGGTAAACCAGTATAATTAATCCTTTATTAAATCCATTTAATCTGGCCTTGGTGAAGTTAATTCAAATTTACTATTTAAATTAACCTTTCATTAAAGTAAGGCAGCTTAATCTAGCTTTCATTATGTCAAATCAGTTTATCAAACTTTCATTAAGTTTTTCGTCAATCCTTCATTAAACTAAATCAGTTTACTCAAACATTTGTTAAATTCAATTCATGTTTGATCAATCTTTTATTAAGGTAAATCAATTTAATCAAACTTTCATTAAATTAAATGAAGTGCTACACAGGAAAAAATGCTGTTTTAATTAAAGGGTAGTTACCAGGCTGCCTTAAAACTTTGAGGAAATTTAACTTCTAATAATGAATTAACAGAACTAAAATCTTTGTCTTACATTCTGATGACTTCTTATTTGAATAAACTTAAAAGTTTAAAGCAAGACCTTTACTAACATCTTGAGTTGAAACACCAATTGAACAAATCCATACAATAGCTGGAGGGCACCAAGAAGTCAGGAACCGAACCTGTATACTTCTAACTGTATTATGTTCACCAACATACCAATAGATTTACTAAAAACAACACATTCCTCTTACTTTTTATTACATTTGTGTATATTTGTATTAATTGTAATGTTATGGGTGGAAATAGTTCTTAATTGTTTTCTTGGCTTTTCTTTTCAGGGCAAGCACGTCTTGGCTGATCCTTTTTACCCAGGAAACCTACAGCATCCAGCTCGTAATGTCACACTAGAACATCTAATCACTGAACAACATGTTGACGGAGTTTGGATTGACATCCGCTGCCATGACACAGATGTAGGTCCATTAATATTTCTGTTTTTGAATGAACCTACATACATGCAAATCTTAATACAGCTCGAGAAATAATTGCTTAAATAACCACTGTGTGATTTGAATTTGGCTTTATTTTGTGATACTTTTATAGTGCTTAAACAGATCTCAGTGCTGCTGTGCAGTTTACTACAGCACAGTGAACACACACATAACTTTGAAAGTTAATTTTTATTAATCTTTTCTCTCCCAGAAATGGTACCAGGCTGTGTACAGAGGTATGTAGACTCATGCACTGTATGTGTTTAACATGTTTAGCAGTTCAGTTTCGGCCCTCAGATCAGTGAAATTCTATGTCTGCCCACACAATCTGACTGAGTGAAAAGAGTGTTGTTGATAACATTTTTTTTATCATACTCATTCAACTCACCACTGGTTGCTGAATAAGAACAATGACATCTTTAGTCTAAGCTGCTATACTTTATGTAGCCCTGTGTAATGTGCTGCTGTTTTAGGGCCTGAAGAACAACATTTAGTTCCAATGTGTACAAGTTATATTGAGGAATGACAATAAAGACCACTTGACCTTGAGCTACTTTTTTGGACAGAATACATCACCAATTAAAATTACGAACATATATTTGCAGTCATTTTAAGGGCTTCTCTGCTTTACTTTGTCTTTACTTTGTAAAACTGTTGTATGAACAGTTAGAGCACATGAGGGGTGTGTTACAGTGAATATAATCATGACTGTGATGATCTGCTGTAACAAAAACACAATCTATACTATTCAATATAACACCGACCTCCAGTGTTCTAACTTTACCCTTCTAACCTCTAGTGAATAGTATTATTAAGTTCTAACTTTATTTGTTTGTTCATTTTCTTAGCTACAAACAACATGGCTGTATTACCAACAGCATCTGGTGAGTGGTAAAATACATATATAGTTCATATTTATTTGTCAGGTAGTGTCTACACAGTTCGGTTATAGGGAATCATATATAGAGATACCCAACTTTAAAAATCCATTTGTAAAGGAATAACAGTTTTAGAAAGCAGGATATCTATTTATAAAAGTGTTCGAAAGTGGTGTATCTCTTATAAATGGGATACTTAATGCAAAGTATCTCTTTATAATGGGGTTTTATGCAGGGTATCTCTTTATAATAGGGTTGTAAAGCAATCTCTTTCTGGGGGAATTTTAATGTAGGGTGTCTCTTTATGATGGGACTTTAATGGTTCATATCTCTTTATAATGGGATTTTAATGCAGCGTATCTCTTTATAATGGGGTTTTAATGAGGGTATTTCCTTATGATGGGATTTTAATGCAGGGTATGTCTTTGTAACTGTTTCAAGGCAGGGTATCTCTTGATGATGGCTTTTTAATGCAGGGTATCACTTTAAAATAGGGTTATAAAGCAGAGTATCTCTTTGTAACTGTTTTAAAGCAGGGCATTTCTTTACAATGGGGTTCTAATGCAGAGTATCTTTTTATAATGGGGGTTTAATGCAGAATATCTCTTTATAATTGGGTTAAATGCAGGACATCTTTTATAATAGGTTTTTAATGCAGGATATCTCTTTATATTTGGGTTTAAATGCAGGGTGTCTCTTTATAATGGGATTTTAATGCAGGGTATACACTATATTGGCAAAAGTATTCACTCACCCATCCAAATCATTGAATTCAGGTGTTCACTTCCATGGCCACAGGTGTATAAACCAAGCACCTAGGCATTCAGACTGCTTCTACAAACATTTGTGAAAGAATGGGTCGCTCTCAGGAGCTCAGTGAATTCCAGCGTGGTACTGTGATAGGATGCCACCTGTGCAACAAGTTCAGTCGTGAAATTTCCTCACTACTAAATATTCCACAGTCAACTGTCTGTGGTATTATAACAAAGTGGAAGCAATTGGGAATGACAGCAACTCAGCCACAAAGTGGTCGGCCACATAAAATGACAGAACGGGTTCAGCGAATGCTGAGGCACATAGTGTGCAGAGGTCGCCAACTTTCTGCAGAGTCAATCGCTACAGACCTCTAAACTTCATGTGGCCTTCAGATTAGCTCAAGAACAGAGTAGAGAGCTTCATGGAATGGGTTTCCATGACCGAGCAGCTGCATCCAAGCCTTATAATCACCAAGCACAATGCAAAGCGTCAAATGCAGTGGTGTAAAGTGCTGCCACTGGACTCTAGAGCAGTGGAGACGTGTTCTCTGGAGTGACGAATCACGCTTCTCCGCCTGGCAATCCGATGGACGAGTCTGGGTTTGGCGGTTGCCGGGATAACGGTACTTGACTGACTGCATTGTGCCAAGTGTAAAGTTTAGTGGAGGGGGATTATGGTGTGGGGTTGTTTTTCAGGAGTTGGGCTCGGCCCCTTAGTTCCAGTGAAAGGAACTCTTAATGCTTCAGCAGACCAAGAGATTTTGGACAATTTCATGCTCCCAACTTTGTGGGGACAGTTTGGGGATGGCCCCTTCCTGTTCCAACATGACTGTGCACCAGTGCATAAAGCAAGGTCCATAAAGACATGGATGAGCAAGTTTGGTGTGGAAGAACTTGACTGGCCTGCACAGTCCTGACCTAAACCCGATAGAACATCTTTGGGATGAATTAGAGCGGAGACTGTGAGCCAGGCCTTCTCGTCCAACATCAGTGTCTGACCTCACAAATGTGCTTCTGGAAGAATGGTCATAAATTCCCATAAACACACTCCTAAACCTTGTGGAAAGCCTTCCCAGGAGTTGAAGCTGTTATAGCTGCAAAGGGTGGGCTGACATCAAATTAAACCCTATGGATTAAGAATGGGATGTCACTCAAGTTCATATGCGTGTGAAGGCAGACTAGCAAATACTTTTGGCAATATAGTGTATCTGTATAATGGAGTTAGAGAGTACAGTGCTGTGAAAAAGTACACATTTGCCCCTCATCTGATTTTTTTCTGTATTTGCTAATTAGTTACATTAAAATTTGAGGATATTTGAGCATGAACTGCCCGTTTAGGGTCTTGCCACAGCATCTCAAAGGGATTCAGGTCAGGACTTGACCACTCCAAAACCTTAATTTTGTTTCTTTTGAGCCATTCTGAAGTGGACTTGCTTCATTGTCATTGTCCCGCTGTTTAACCCAACTATGCTTGAGCTTTAGGCCATGAACTGATGGGCGGACATTCTCTTCATCATTTTCTGATAGTTAGGGTCAGGGTAGGAGCAGAATTCATGATTCCATCAACTGTGACAAGTCGCCCAAGTCCTGCAACAGGCAAAGCAGCTCCAGACCATCATACTACCACCACAATGTTCAACTCTGTTAGTATGATGTTTTTATGGTAGAATGCGGTGTTAGCTTTACATCAGATGTAACCGGACCCATGTCTTCCAAAATGTTCCACTTTTGACTCATCAGTCCACAGAATATTATCCCAAAAGTCTTGGGGGTCATCTAGATGTTTTTTTGGCTAATGCGAGATGAGCCTTGGTGTTCTTTTTGGTCAGCAGTGATTTGTGCCTTGCAACTCTCCCTTCTTGTCCAGTGTTTTTCTTATTGTGGAATCATGTACATTGATCTCAACTGAGGCAAGTGAGACTTGCATTTCTTTAGATGTTCACCTAGGTTCTTTAGCGACCTCCTAGATGAGTTGTCACTTCTGGTGAAATTTTGGTATGCCAGAAAACCACTGTTCTGAGTTTTCTCCATTTGTAGATAATGGCTCGCACTGTGGTTCACTGGAGTCCCAGAGCCTTAGCAATGGCTTTGTAACCCTTTCCAGACTGGTAGATTTCATTGACTTGCATCTGTATTTGAATCTTTGTAGAACGTGGCAACGTGTGCTGCTTTTTAAAACCTTCTAGCCTGCATCACATTGCCAGACAGTTCTATTTAAGTGATGTTTAGATTCAACAGGTCTGGCAGTAATCATGCCTGGGTGAGGCTAGTAAAATTGAACCAAATATTTTAACTGGCAATTAGAATTCAGAACTATTAGCCAACTGTGCTTGAACACAGAGGAATTAGACTTCCGCATTTTACACATCCGTGCAGTGAAACACCCGCATACATGCACACTAGTGAATACACACACTAGAGGCCGGTGAGCACACCTGCCAAGGGGCAACTAGGGGTTAGGTGCCTTGCCCAAGGGCACTTCAGTGTCATGTCCTGTTGGGTCAGGGGATCGAACCAGTGACCTTCAGGTCACAAGGCTGGTTCCCCAATCTCCAGCCCATGACTGTGCCAATTACTTTTTCACATAAGGCCAGGCAGAGCTGAACAGCATTTTTCCTTCAACAAATGAAATCATCATTTAAAAACAGCATTTTGGGTTATCTCTGTCTAATATTAAAAGTAGTTTGGTGATCTCAAACATTCAAGTATGCAAATATGCAAAAATACTTTCATAGCACTGTATCTTTTTGTAACTGTTTTAAACTAGGGTTTATCTTTATAATGGAGCTTCAAAGCAGGGTATCTCTTTATAACTGTTTACAAATAGAATATCTCTTTATAATGGGGTTTTAATGAAGAGTATCTCTTTAGAATTGGGTTTAATGCAGGGTATCTCTGTAATGGGGTTTTAAAGCAGAGTATCTCTTTATAACTGTTTTAAAGCAGGGAATCTTTTTGTAATGGGGTTTAAAATCAGCATATGTCTTTTAGTGGTACTTCAAATGGGATTTTAAAACAAGATATATCTTTATAATAGAGATTCATTATGATGTGTTTTACAATGTTTTATCAGATCTAATGGGCCACACCACCCTGCCTGTATGGGGAAGTGTACTCATTGTGCTTGGTTTGGTCACTCTCCTTCTGGGTGGGATCTTCTACTGGAAACATACAACCATCCTTGGGTATGTCTGACATTTACAAACCCCTAATAAGCCCACATACCACATAAGCACACTTGTATTTAAGATTTTGATAGTACTGAAAAATATGTGGAATCTCTTACAGCAAACACACAACTTTAAGTCAAGTCAAGTCAGGCTTTATTGTCATTTTAGCTACATGTAAGTACACAGTGAAATGAATCAACATTCCTCCAGGACCATGGTGCAACACAGGAACACAAGTGTGACACAATACAATATACACAGTGCAGACAATACAGTGCAATAAATAAATATGAAAGACAATAAATGCAAAACAGAACACAGACAGGACATGGTACTGAAAGGATGTGGAGTTGTGCAAAGGAGGATGTAACATACTATGACATATTAGCAACTTAGCAGATAGCCTAGCAGATATGAGCATAGCAGTCACTGAGGTAGCAACCAGAGCAGCAATATATAGTATACAGTATTTGGTTGATACAGTAATTATAGCAGCTAACATTGTTAAAGTGAAGTAAAATGTGCAAAAATGCAAAGTCAGATATTGTTGTGGAAATAAAACGTGCAAAAAAGCAAGTATTCAGATCTACAGTCATATCAAGTGAAGTGAAATGCAGTAACTGTATTTATACAGTGTTCCATAATCTGGAACTGAAAGAAGTGGGGAGTGAGTTAGTCCCATATTGTTATGTATATGTGTGTGTGGGTCTGTGTGGGTGTTATGTGTGTGTGTGTGTGTGTGTGTCCGTGGGAGTTGAGGAATCTGATGGCTTGTGGAAAGAAACTGTTGCCCAGGATGTGAGGGCCCGAATGCTGTGGTGCCTTCTTCCAGATGGCTGAAGAGAGAAATGTCAGTCAAAATGCTAGTGGCTTTTTAGATGTAGCGTGTGGTGTAAATGTCCGTGATGGAGGAAAGAGAGACCCCGATGGTCTTTTCAGCAGTCCTTACTATTCGCTGGAGGGTCTTGCCGTCGGAGGCGGTGCAATTCCCAAACCAGGCAGTGATGCAGCTGCTCAGGATGCTCTCTATAGTGCCTCTGTAGAAGGTGGTAAGGATGGTGGGTGGGAGATAAGCTTTCCTTAACTTCCGCAGGAAATAGAGACGCTGCTAGGCTTTCCTCGTTATGAAGCTGGTGTTCAGGGTCCAGGTTCTCCGCTAGGTGAACACCAAGGAACTTGGTGCTCGCAACAATCTCCACAGGGGAGTTGTTGATAGTGAGTGGAGAGTGGTAACTCTGTGATCTCCTGAAGTCAACAATCATCTCCTTTGTTTTGTCCACATTCAGATGTAGGTTGTTGACCTTACACAGTCGCCACACCTCCTCTCTGTATGCTGACTCATCGTTCTTGCTGACGAGACCAACCACAGTAGTATCATCAGCAAACTTTATGATGTGGTTGGAACTGTGAATTGCCACACAGTTGTGAGTCAGCAAGGGAAACAGCAGTGGACTGAGCACACTGCCCTGGGGGGCTCCATTGCTCAGTGTGATGGTGTTAGAGATGCTGCTTCTGATTCGGACTGACTGAGGTCTCTCAGGAAGAAAGTCCAGGATCCAATTGCAGAGGGAAGTGTTCAGGCCCAGCAGGCTCAGCTTTCCAACGAGATGCTGAGGGATGATGGTGTTGAATGCTGAACGTTTTTGTTTTTCCGAATACGTTACATTCAGCAAATAAGAATATGATATGGAATAGAATATTTGCAGAAAAATGCCACATTAATATTAATATTTAATATTAATATTGGTTAATAAGTAAATGAATAAATAAATACATACATAAATACATATATAAATAAATAAAATTGCATTTTAAAATTGGAACAGCTCACAGTCTGTTGTAAGCTAACGGCTGATACTGTTATTATGTATGGTGGCTAATGATGACTATTTTATTTTACTTTCGAACGTTTCTTACCTTAATTCCAGTTTCTGTGATGGAAAATACAACAGAGGGAACAGCAGTTTTCTTTAGCAGCCGGCATTTGAAGAAATCTGCTTTGCATTGTTTTCTGGTCTTGAGTTGTCTTCATCTGTGAAGTGGTTGCTACAAACCCCAAATTTTTGGAGTTGTTTCACTTCAGTATTATTGTGTAGCTTCAAAACAATTGGCCACAACTTCAGGATTACTGGTGCTTGTAATGGTAACCGAAAAAAACAAATCATACTGTATTTTCTCTATTTATTTTTGCATCCTGGTACAGCACAGTTCACCATCATTCTGAAAATTTACCAGCAAGGTGCAACTGTGATCTATGGCAGCTCCTCTAATGAATACTCACAAAAACTATGGGTATAGCTGACACTGTGCGACACAACACTGCCAACCCAAACACCGAAAGGCGTGCAGGGCGGAGAGGTACATGCAGGGCGTTGTAAGGAAAAATAGAGAAGAAAACCTATTTTATTGAATTCAGCACTATTTTACTATTATCAGCGTGACTTATAAGATATAAAAACTTACAAGACACATGTAAGTTTACTGGTCATTTTGGATAGCAGATAAACTGGTGATATTTGTACTGTAGACATACGGATGTCTTGTTCCTAGTACTACAATGGTAAGCAATTTTGAAGTCACATTTCACAGCAAACCACACTGAATGATTTTGAAAACATCTAAACCATTGAATGATTAAGTAATTTGGAAAAATCGGTGGAGTTCCCCTTTAATAGAGAATTCAGTTGATGTGAGATGAGGTCATATGTGTATATGTGTGTATGTTGAATATTTTACAGTGGCTTCTACAATGGTTCAGCCAATCAGACTTCAGTTTTTTTTTACCAGAATAATTCAGTCAGTTAGATTTAGTTAGTAAATGGGTAAAATCTCTTCTTTGTTTTGATGTGGGTGATATAAATACTGTATATCCACAAAACTGCGCTGTGACAAATAGTATTTTGAATGCCACACCCTAACTTGGAGCAAATGGGCAAACATGTGCTTGTGCCCAAACAAAAAAGCAACATTGCAGCGTTATACTATCAGACCACATTTGCACCTTCGCTTTGCATTTATCCTGCCTGAGTAAGCAGTAAAGAGAACACCCCTTTTTCCGCTCTGCCCTTTTTACAGATGGATCTGTTGCCACAGAGACGAAGACCACAGAGATGTGGAGCTGGGGAACGTGGCTCAGGCACTGAGCCCCAACATGGACCAAAACTAGGATCATAACTTGTAAGAGCCAAAACTGCACTGTAGCCTTACTGCTCTCTTTTTCTGGATTGTGACAGTGGAATGTGCAATAATTAGTCAACATATATCTCTCTCTGTCTGTTTGTTTATGCTTCTCCTTTACAGTGGTCTTCTTGTGGCTGTTCAGAAGGATAACAAAGACTTGAACATTTCCAGCACAGTCCTCTCTTTCTATCTCTCTCTCTTCCTGTTAGAATATCTTACTTAGTAAATGTGTCTCTAAATGTGTGTCTACATTATATGGAGATTATATCTGCATCTCCACCGCAATCATGAAGGGCTTGAGACATTCAGGCTCCCTCAGGATCACCACACTGAACATCCAGTGGTTGTTTCAGGGACCATGCTCATAGTACTTATATTGTATAGTGTTTAGAATATTCATCATATTATAAAGCATTTCTAAGTGAGACACATCGAATGGTTAAATTACAGTTTTGCTGCTGTCTGTAAACAAACCACCATCTTCAACCCTCATTGAAGTCATCTTCATCCCAGAAGAACCTACTTAAGCAGAATAAGGGCTGTTTTACTCTGGCTGTTTCTCTCAGGGATTTTCTTACTTTGAGGCCTTTTTTAACCAAGAGCTGATTACATCAAATCCAAAAAATTCATTGTTTCTACAAAAGAATTGATGAATAAATATAAATGAAAGATGTCTGTGTAAGTTTGTTTTACTGTCTAGCATTAAAGGTTCAAAATGAGTGAGCTATGCCACATAGGCATGGCAGAAAAAAAGGAGAAGTGAGTGAAGGGAGCTATTGTGTGACAGTTTTCTTCACAAATTCATCACTGTTTCTCTCTTTGCATCTCTCTTTGATCACAGTAATCATTCAGGTTTTCCTTTGACTGCCTGAATATCTGGTTAGCAGTGGCCCTGTAGTGGCTCCTTCCCATTGATTTATGGGGGTAGAGGGGGCTCATAAACTGTATAGCAACAGATGAGCTACTGTCAGTTATTGTAAACCTACATAGTGCACAAATGGTAGGAGTATGTGATAAAACGGCAAATGAATTGAATGTTGGACAAGTCATTTCACTGAGGTGTTCTCAAAGAGAGGTAGTGTATGATGAGAGTTTAGCACTGAGCCGAGATCTAGGAGCATCAGTACAATACAAGTTCCTAAATCAGCAGTGTAGAGTAATGACCCCGAAAAGAGCAGCTTCAATTCTGTGCAGAGAATGGAAATCTGATTGTAAAGATATATGTGTCATTTGTTTATAATTGAGACTGCAAATATGAAATAACTGCTCTTTCTAACAATTCAGCTAAAAATGAGAAGTCTGCCTGCAATTTGTAAAGTAATTAGCATCCAGATCTGGCTTTTTGAACAGCCGCTTTGAGATTGGCTGGAAAATAGCGCCTGAAGTTTGAGACAGGGATGGTTATCAGTGTCACACATTCTTTAAGAAAGCTGGTCTAGCTGACAATGTGTTGAATTGGATTTATTAATAAACTCAGCTTTGGAAATCAGTGTTGTACGATGAAATATTCAGGTCTTGGTTTTATCAGGAATCGAGTTTCCCAACATGACGCACCACATTTTGTTGTAAGTATTTTCATCAGTCTGAGAAAAGCCTAACACTGCTATTGTGGTGGCCAGTAAGTGAACAATGTTTAAACCTCAGCAATGCTGCTGTGCCTGATGTACACTTGCGCCAGTGCCTTTTATACTAATATGTTAGTCTCAATGCTTTGCTGAGAATGATCCTCCACCCAAATAATATCTGGTCAGTGGTGGCCTTGATCCCAGTAATTATATTCATATAAATGAAGGGTGGGAGTAAAATTGATTTACCAAGGTATATGAATAATAATAATAATAATAATAATAATAATAATAATAATAATAATAATACATGGGCCCCAAGTTATAATGTTCTGTTACTTAATTATCAATTATTTTTTATTATTTTACAGAGAAGTCTTTTTTATAAGACCCAAGTTCTACTGATATGAACAAAATCTAAACTTCAAATTAAAATAGACGATGACGTCTTATGACAGAAGCACCTCCGTAATAATAGTTATTAGAAAATGTATTCACATTAGTTTCTTCCTAGCAAGAGGATTGTGAGCCACCAACAGTGCATTGGCTTTTTCCTCATTGTTTTCTTGGTAGTCCATTAGCAGTTAAGCTATCAGTTTGGACAAAATGCCAATTTTACAATGCTTGTTTTCCACAGACTTTCTAAAGTAGTTTTTCTTTCTTTCTTTATCCTTTATTGTATTTATTTATTCATTGTAAATTTGCTGAAGTGAAATAATTTTAACAGTAATAATAATTTTTAATCAACATCATTAAAAATCAGTGTTGCTAAAATGAAAATACATACAATAAACATTAAAATAACTGAACACACACATGTACACTGTTAGAAATAAAGAAACTGTGCAGGTACAGTTTTTGTTCAAGGTGCAAACAATGTATAAGTACCTTCAAAGGTACACAATTGTTTTAAGGTCCAACTGTCTATGTTAAATAATTGTTTTTCTCAGAGGAAAAGATTCACATTTTGTTACTGACCAGAGAAAACATCTCCAAAACTTTACAGGAGAGGGCAAAACATTCTTTACTTTCAACATGAATTAATGTAAAGAGATTTTATTCCAAGTAATTTTTGAATTTCTGTTGGTCCAATTTTTTACACACAGCTGCCGTGCCCTAATGATGTAGAAAAGTAAAAAAAAAAAAAGAAAATACAATAAATAATAGAGATACATGTTTTTCTTTGGACAGCGATGATTTGTACCTTCTTATAATCTGATGTTTTAAAACAACAAAATAAAAAGGCTGAAGACAAGACAGAGTCAATACAACTACAATAGAATGTCAATAGAAAATGGTACATTTATGTTCCCTAACAAAAGGTACTGAAGACATACCATTTGATGGTAGCACTTTAGTGACAAGAGTGGTGTGAGTGAGAGTTTAGTAGCTTTTTTCTTCTGAGAGTGTATATACACTTTCTCGGTTTCTTTCCCTTTTAAAAAGATTGTCTTTCCTTTTGGAGATTCTCTTTAGTATTAACTCTGCTGTGATGATTCCTCCTTCTGTTTAAAAACTCTGAAGTGATATAGGCTACAGCTGGGCTAAACTACTCACTGTCAAACTATTTAGAAATAGCACTGCTCAAATGTTGTTTACATAACCTTTATATGATCATTTCATTCATCCTGGGCCTTCAGCCACACTGCGCCTGTGATGTGTGGAGAAAGGAGAGAGTTCTTAGTCAAAACAAACACTGTATAACAGTGTGTGTGTGTGTGTGTGTTTGACTAAAAGCCCGTTCTGTGGTCATGCAGTAACAAAATTTCTTCAGCACATTTCACATCTCTCTGAAACAAAAAATCCCCTCATTCATTCCAAGGAGTTCAAGAGGGCATACTCTCTCTGAGGAAGTGCACCTCGGTATGTAAATGCTCCCCACAAACACTCAATCTGTTGGATTCATTTGATTATTCATGCTGGTTCGGTTTGACAGCATCTCACATATTCTGACACGGTATGTGATTCTGTATAAAAACAGACAAAGGTATTATCATTTAAAAATCTTATCTATATATTGTGCACATCTGTTGCTCATTACTGACTCCTGTTTTCCTGCAGTAGCTCAGCGCAGTTATCTTTAGGCTGTACCCTGTTTGCGCTGAGGATACATTCTCTAAGTCTCTGAGTGGGGAAAAAAAGCACTTTTGTAAGTCACTCTGGATAAGAGGGTCTGCTAAATGCCATTAATGTGAACAACCTTCTGTTTTTCTCTGTAATTCTGTCAGTTATCTTTAGCTGTCTGTCTGTCTGCTCAGACAAGCCCCATACTCCATATTCCCCTCTTCTGCGTTAATTCATGTGCATTTGATATTTTTCTGTAACTTACTGTTGTGTTCCAGGCTAAACCAGGTAATACAGTAAGCATATTACACTGTACTTTTAGATGTTTTCATGATATATGACAGGTATTACAATATTACAAGAGAACAAGATTACAAGAGAACACAAGTTCTATTATTTCTATCTGAAAGGTTGACTCATCATACCACAATACACATCGTGCATCAGTCCATTTCTGATGAGCTTGAGGCCAGAGAAGTCGGCAGTGTTTCTGGACATTGTTGGCACGACTTCTGCGGTGGATAGTACACTCTTACCTTGAATTTGTGCATTCCTGAACTCATGTGGTGATATCCATCACAGAAGCAGGCTGGTTTTTAAAGCAGTGCTGCCTGAGGGATCGAAGGTCACGGCCATTCAGTTGTGTTTTTTAGCCATATCCTTTGTTCATAGAGATTTTTCTGGATTCCCTGAATCTTTTGATAATATTATGCACCGTAAAGCGTTAAATAACTAAAATCCTTGCAAATGCTTGTTGAGGAATGCTGTTCTTAAACATTTGGTCTATTTGCTGATGCTTTTTTTCGGGCAAGGTGGCGAGTCTTGATCCATCCTTGCTTATAAAGGACTAGCTTCTTTTTATATGCTCTTTTTGTGCCCAAGCATGATTACATCAATCATTAAATTGTCTTCTGAACATTTAACAATGTTCCTAGTCTTAAATTTCCCCTAACGTTTTTGGAATGTGTTGCAGGGGTCAATTTCAGATTAATCGATTATTCATAAAACACAATGAAGTTGATAAGATAGAACATTAAATATCTCGTCTTTGTACTGCCTTAAAAGTACTTTGAAAAACCTCCTGTCTGTGTGTATTCAGTGTGGAATCAGTGGCTGTGTGACTAAAATGTTCAACTCGGGAATGTATGTGTTTATTTTTCCTTTATCCAGATGTTGGATATGGACCAGATCCATTTTCTAAATGCAAGAATACACACACTACCATGCCACTACATGGACATGGATGGGGGAGGCTGAAAAAATGTCCAGCCACAGATGTACTACAGGTAGTAACTGCAAACCTACAAAGCATACCAGTATGGTAGGTACAATATGATGATAATGAGTGTGGATACAAGGTAGGTGTACAAATTAAACTGCCAAGTCAGTGTAGTTTGGCTCATCCTATTCATTTGCCAGTAAATCCTGCATTGTAATAAAGCTATTTTAATTGCTGAATGCTTTGGTTTGAAAACTTAGTTCAAAACAGATAGAACAGTAAATCTATGTATTTGTTCCCATACAGAAATATACAGAAATACCTCATACTCGACTTCCTGGCTTGGAGCAATCCTAGCAATTTCGCAGTAAAACCACTTGTATGGGCTAATCTTTGAGAGAATTACATGGGCATTTTTCCCCATCCAAGCATCAATGCAGATCTGTAAAAAATGACATTTGTACATTGCATTATTGTAATTTTTGTAGGTATATCTCAAGAATTACATCTAATATTACATCTAAAACCACAATTAACTTATTACTTATGGTTTCCTGAACAAGGATATTATCAAAATAAAATTTGTTTTATTATCTATGAATGAACAATGTATAAATGCATTAATGTAGGAACAAATAAGCTGCCTTTTCCTAACATCTGAATAGTCCCATTCATCCTCTTCACAAAGCCATTTCTTTGAGGATGATATGGAGAGCGTAAACTTCTTTTTATGCCCAGCTTCTCACAAACTCTCTTGTTGACCTTTAGTAATAAAGCACCCA